GGAGGAGGAGGCCGCGTTCAGAGCACTTTGAGATTCCCTCGCAAATGCCCCTCCCCTGTGCTACCCTGACACGGCCGTTTATTCTCGACACGGATGCCAGCAACACGGGCATCGGTGGTGTGCTGTCCCAGGTGATTGACAGGGTGAACGGGTTGTCGCTTATGGCAACAGAGTTCTATCTCTGGCAGAGCAACGCTACTGCATAACTCGCCGTGAGCAGTTGGACCATCGTGTTTTTTAACCAGCAATACCGGCCAAATTTATACGGCAGGCATTTTACTGTACGCTCCGACCATGCGGCATTACAATATGGCTTGTGAACTGACCAACCGTCTGGCCAATTGTCCCGCTGGCTCGAGGTCCTGCAGGACTACTTGTTTCCGGTAACCAACCGCAAGAGGTCTAAACACTCGAACAGAGAAGCGCTGTCGCGGCTGCCCGCTGGCAACCGGTATGCGTGCTTTTCGGGTTCCAGCCATTGCAAACAGCCCGTTGTTCATGCGCCCCCCCCCCCCCGCCACTCGCTGCTGCAGCTGAGGTGGCCGTTCCTAGAGGTGGCTCCTCTGAGGGGCTGGAGGGTTCATCCACTCGAGATGCATTACTCAATTCATGCCTCTTGGACTGGGGGCGTCTCCAAATTGAGGACGCGTTCCTCCTTAAGTCACACCGCCGTGATGAGCGACTTAGCAACTTGAAAGTATCGGGAAGGATTCGCGCCCATCATTCTGCGGGAAGGTCTGTTGATGACCTGGGATGGTAGCTCGCGCTGTTATAAAATTGTCCTGCCGACTGCTCTGCGCGGAAAGGCCGTTTTAGCTGCTCACGAGCGCCTCTTGCACCTGGGGGCCAGAAACACTTACCACGCTGCAGCTCGATTTCTATTGGCCAGGTATGGTGAAATATGTGGCCAATCTGCTCCTGAGCTGCACCCAGTGTGCCAGGTGGGAGCCACCGGCAGGCCATCGTGCCCGCCCCTACAGCCCATCTGCATGTCCCGTGTCAATGAATTGGTGGCGCTGGACATTCTTGGGCCCTTTCCAGCTACCTCCCGAGGTAATAAGTACCTGCTGGTTGGGGTGGAACATTTCACCTGCTGGCCCATGGCCTGGCCAATCCCCAACCAGTCGGCAGCAGCCATTGTGGAGGCCTTTCTCCAGGGCTACGTCCTGGACAAGGGTGCTCCGGAGCACCTGCTGACCGGTCAGGGAAGGAATTTCTCATCCACCCTGTTGAAGGATGTGTGTAACCGCCTTGGTACACAAAAAGTGCTCACTTCCCCGTATCACCCACAAACTGAAGAGATGGTTGAGCGTCTTCATCGGACACTCATCTCAATGCTGTACCACCAGCTTGACGTGTCGGAACTATATTGGGATCTCCATATCCCCGGTGTCCTGGACGCGTACAGAATGGCACCCCATGCAGCAATGGGGTACTCGCCATTCTATCTCATGTATGGCCGCAATGTCAATCCCCCGGCAGACGTGCAGAAATGCGTCAAACCGCTCGCCTCGAAATCCAAACTGTCAGACCACATCCGATTCAATATTCAAAAACTGACCGAGGCACGGGAGGCCGCTAGGGAAAATTCCGGGGTGAGGCAGCTGGCCAAAGAGAAATTGCAGAGCCACCGCGTTTCCGAGCACACGTGGGCTGAAGGGGACGGGGCCTGGCTCCATTGTCCCCAGGTTCTCTTGGCAACATCCCCTAAACTTCTCAGACCCTGGAGGGGGCCGGTCGAAGTTTTCCGAGTCGTCTGCCCCCAGTGTGTTAAGGTACAATGGGGTAGGCGATCTTGGCACGTCCACCCATCGTGTCTGAAACTCTACGTCGCGTCGCGCACTTTCACATCATCTTAATATCGCAGGGGCCATGGGTGTGACGTGCCCGACGTGCCGGAATGTTCATCTGCAGAACCTAACCCTGAGACGAGCCATCTGATCCCACCCTCAGATGCTACGGGATGGAGGCCATCACGGCCATCGACGTTGGCCGCCCACGACACCGAGCGCCCACCCACCCCACCAGATGAGGCCCTGATGGGCCTACCTCTCCTGACCTGCCCTTGTGGGCTGTTCCCCACTCACAACCAGTTTCTGCTGAGCTGCAAAAAGACCCAAAGAGCCAGCTTAAAAAAGGACCGGGGAACCCCCGGACCCACTGTCCTTTTAAGGGCTGGGACTGAGTGGGACAGTGGTCGGACCCTGAGAAACTTCGGACACAATGTCCTTCTGATGGCCGGAACAGAGCGGACCAGTTGCCGGGACCCGAGGACCTTAGCTGGGTCGGGTCAGGCTAGCCTCCCCTAGGGCAACTAGCCGGAGGACTGAGATATAGTGTGGTCCCAGTGATAGAGAGCACGATAGCGCGGAGGCTGTACCTCCCCAGGTATTGGGTTGAAGGAGCCCTTACCCCTTTGTGTTAGGGACCCTGTACTGTTATTGTTATAAATAATCGTGTTGTCTCCAGTGAAGACTGGGTCTCCATCATTACCACAACTTATACTCATGATGCTTCTAGTTCATGAGAAGTGATGTATGTCGTGGACGTACAGCTCAGCTGCCGATAACAGGATACCGTAGGAAACAAATGAAAAGCTACTTTGTGTAACTGGGCGAGCGTTAATTGAGACACCCTTTACCTGTTAACAATGGAATCCATGGCACATGCAAGGTGTGAACAGAAACAATGGAAAGACGTGTTGCAAAACAGTGTCAACTTAAATTGTAGCTTTTCGTAGCTGATACAGTGATATATATGTGATGTTGAAATGAATGAATTTGAAGTTGTTTGAAATAAGACATACATTGTTCTCGTTGAAAAGATATGGGAATATGACGCGTGCTTTCGCAGCTGGTGATGTCACGGCGCGTACTGATGCAGCCTCACTGGATTTTAAACTTCCCAACCTGATGAAGCCCGAGTCTGGAACTTTAAATGATGTCGTGAAAAGCCTTAAACTACCCTTGCGCTTTATTGGTTTGAATGTGATCAACACCTTGGCATGTACGAATGGTGTCTTTTTAAAAGTTTTAATTTTGTCGAGTGGTGGGGGCTTAGTAACGCGAATTTTGACAAAGAATCTGGCACGTGGCCAAATCTCTAAATGTATGGATCAGTATTCATGTATCTGATTATTCAATTAAAAATAACTAGGGATCTGCTTAATACAATATAACTTTGGCGATGACACATTTGACTTTTACTTCATGGTATACGTTAATATAGAAATGCAGTAATGTCCTTGGCATAAGTATAAAGGGCAAAGGTGAATTCTTGCAATGGATTTATTACAGCACCGCTGGCAGACTCCACTTAAACGACCACTAAATATCCCCTCTAGAGGATAATATATATACTCATGTATGCTTACATAAGTGTTAATTTTATAGCCAATAATTTTAGCTAAATTCTACTAACAGAGGCTAGACACAGGGGAAAGCTCTCAATTCCGGAACTTTTCCACAGAGATCGGGATCGTTCCACTATTTGTAGAATGGGTCCGCAAACTGCAGAAATACTCTTGAGCACAGCTGCCACGTTACCCACACGCAAATGGCATCATCTCTACCAAGTATAAGATCATAAACAGAACAATATAAGCAACGTCCGTGAAAACAATTAATAAATAGAACCAATATTAACGTGTGGAATCGCTGACTCGCAATTTTTTGTCTCAGGTGGGAAAATATCGACGAGTTTAATGAGACAGACATAAGGCATTGGGTAACGTAGAAATGAGAATAAGGCCAGGAGATAAGAGGGCTCTCAACGGGTATAAAAGTGGACCCTCAGCAGTGGTTCAGCATCGTTGTTCAGGATCTTCACTGCACAATGTACGGACTCATCTTCGCTCTGCTCGTGGGCACCGCTGGTGAGACTTTGTGTAACTTCCACTGCTAACTGGTTGTGTAGTGACTGATTTTGGGTCGAACTGGGACCCATGTCCAGCAGAGATTATCTTTTTACGTATGCTGAACTTATTTCGCACCGTATGTATCCAACCGTGCTAATCTTTGCCTTTAGACATCCGGCAGTTTAAGAGTATTGGCTTAAGCAGGGCATTGAAGGATATCATTAGTGGTCAATTTGGAATTTTAATTTTGCGTAGGCCTCCGCTAGGTTAGCTCAATATGAAACACTTTGTGCCTCCTATGGTGATGCGCATCACCAAACTAACAGAGGAGAGGAAGGTGTGCTGCTTATTTGGCTGTGCCAGAAAGTTGGTCTTTAACTTAAACTGAATTATGCCCAAGTGCAAGATGGGGCTAAAGTCCGTTTTTGTTCCCAAGGGATTGGTGCAAATTTTGATCTAAAGCTTTCGTGACTGCAGTAATTCATATTCTTAGCTCTTTCGGTAAAGTCACGTTGAGGGGAAACAATAAAATAATAAAATATATAAAACAATAAAAATTCTCACGACGTTTCGACCATAACACAAACGGTCGTCATCAGGTGTGTCGGTTTGCATAAATTTCTTTATTTTTAATCGGTGTATTTATTTATTTATGGCAGATCATTGTTATAATTCAGTAGGCCCACATGACATTGATTTTTCCAAGACAGAGGTTCTTTGAAGCCATCTGGCTACAATGAGAGATTCGTTCATGAGGCTATCCACATATCCAAACACAGAGACAATTTCAACCGAGAAGATGGATTCTGGCTTAGCAATCGTTGGAAAGATTTGATAAACCATTTCAGGTCTTAATTGATTGTTCACGCTTAGAGTGGCTTTCAGACAGCATACATTAATTTTTCGTCTCCCCCCTCCTCTTTTCAGAACATAGATGGAATAGTCCTTCTAAATAAACTGCCAAATCGCTGCGCATGGTGCTGACGGTTTTTCTTAAATAAATAAATACGGCGTTTAAAAATAAATACATTTATGCAAACCGACACACCTGATGACGACCATTTGTGTTATGGTCGAAACGTCGTGAGAATTTTTATTGTTTTATATATTTTATTGTTTCCCTTCAACGTGACTTTACCGGAAGAGCTAAGAATATGGATTGGTGCAAATTCAAAATTCCTTCTGTGGGGCCCATCATGTCCATCAGACAAGAACGACGATTGAGCAAGTGATGCAACATTTCTAGTAACCATAGCGAAGTGACTGTTTTTGCTGGAATTGGTCTTTGTAATTGTGTTGCTGGTAAGATTGGTGATGATGATCATCATGGAGACAGCAGAGGCGGATTTATAATATTCCCAAAAGGGGTGTTCATGAAATGTCCATACATTTAAAAAGGGGCTTACATTATCAATACGTTTTTTTCTGGTAAATATCAATAACCATATCACTTTGCGACTCAAGGGGTGGGAGGGGTGTAGCATTGCCTCCATTACTTCCCTTGGATTCTCCACTTGGCCTTATACACGATGTCGATGGTCATGATCCTGTTGACGATTATTCTCACGATGAATGTTGGGTCTGAGTAATTGACCGTGGCCAGGATACTAATTCACACTCTGCTTCGCTGACAGCGGCGGCCCCATACATGTATGAGGACCACATCGTGGGTGGCTACGAGTGCGCTGCCCACTCGCAGCCGTGGCAGGTGTCCATCAACATCGGATACCACTTCTGCGGAGGCTCCCTGATCTCCAGCGAGTGGGTCGTGTCTGCCGCTCACTGCTACAAGACGTGAGTGTGCTGCACGTGGACATGAGCGAATCTCGTTGCGTGCTGCGTGTCTGGTGGTCTCAGTGAAGTGACATCGACTTGTGTAAAATGCAGTGTACACCTCCAACCTGGTGATCACGACCTTATCTGAAAAAATCTTAAAGCTCATGTTGTTGAACTAAAACCTAGCCACAAATAATATTTACTTGAGCTTCACCGATGGGGCAGCAGTGTCACAGCTGGTAATATGAAGAAGCCGATCATATTATTTTGAATGAGAATTCTGCGAACAAACGAGACAGGGCTATGTGCAGATTGCACAGGTATGCGACATCCTCTTTCCACAACAAGGCGATGTGCCCCAGCAGTTCGTTTTGTTTAGGCAATTATATCAAATAGTCACAGCACTTGTCAATCAACCACACTTGTCAATTTGGGTTGGTTACGGTGGGGAGTGTAGATGTGATGGCATAGAAATACAGTGCTAGTTGACCATGTACAGATTTGTTTAGATTGTTTTGTTCGTGTTTTATTGTTATTGCTGTAGCCAGGTTTGTATTGTGTGACCAATCCCCATAAACGAGTAGCATTCATGGCCCAATGGGTTTTACCTGTATCAAAATAAAACCCCCAAAAAAACATAGAACCTAAATTTAAGCGATCCCTTATGAATAAAAATCATCATCACTACAATCATACACTTCTTCCACCCCCAGCCCGTCCCTCATCTCTGTGCGCATCGGCGAGCACAACATCTTCGAGTCTGAGGGCACCGAGCAGAGGATCCGGGCCTCCAAGGGGATCCGCCACCCCCAGTTCAACTCAAGCACCTTCGACAACGACATCATGCTCATCAAGCTGTCCTCGCCCGCCACCCTCAACCAGTACGCGCAGGCCATCCCGCTGCCCTCCTCCTGTATCGGCACCGGAGTCATGTGCACCATCTCCGGCTGGGGCCAGACCAAGACCAGCCTTGGTGAGGACACGGCGCTTAGACGTCCGTATACCCTGGAAAATCCATTTAAGCAAGAGTTTTTAAAGATTTTACAATGTCGGTTTCGTGGTCACTCTGTATAGCTCTCGGATGTGTTCGGGCTGTACCACGTCGTGTTCATCATGACGTGCTGCATTAGACTCTCTGAATCACATTTACAATAGCCTTGATAATAAGAAGTACTGCGCCAGTCTTTTTCTTGACTTGTCCATAGCCTTTGATACAGTCGATCACAACACCCTGCTTAGTAAACTAAGTTGCCTCAGTTTTTCCAAACACGTAGTAGAATGGTTTAAAAATTACCTCGTTTCTCGCACCCAAACTGTATTCACAGATGGTTTGGAGGTAAAACAGTGTTAAGATAACAAAAGGGGTTCCACAGGGTTCCATCCTCGGCCCCCTCTTGTTCTCTCTTTATGTCAATGAGTTGGGCACTGACCTGGATCATTCCAGGGAAAATATTTTTGCAGATGACAGAATACTGACAACTGCTGGCCGCTCTCTGGATGACGTGATTGCTAAGCTCCAGGGTGATTTCAACTACAACATCAGCTAGTTGTTCTTAAACTTGTCCTGAATACCTCCAAAACCAAGGTGCTATTCTTCTCATTAGGAGTAAAGCAGGAAATTATTTTTCCCCCATTACATTCCTTAAATAATTATCAAATAGAGCAAGTCAAGATCTATAAGTATCTTGGGGTCATCCTGGATTCAAAACTGAAATTTGATGATCACATTGATTATATTGGTAAAAAGACCAAAATAAAAATTGGTTTTCTGTATCGACACAAGCACTGCTTCCCCCCTATGTTCCGTTTGGAATTGATAAAAGCTACCATACTGCCTCTACTTGATTACTGTGACATCGTATACAAATCAACCCCAAGCACTGTACTGAAAAAGCTTGACTCAATGTATCACTCGGCCTTAGATTTGCATTGAACTGCCCATACAGGACTCACCACTGTGATCTCGACATTGGGTCAAACGTAACATCTCTTCATGTTCGACGGCTCGTGCACCAGATCTTATTTCTTCACGATGTACTTACAAAAAAATCCGCCGACTACCTACTGGATCTCCACTTTGTTTCAAAGAACAAATGTGACCTAAGGTCGTCGCTCATATACCAGCTTTACATTCCTTATTGCCGTACAAAAACTGGAGGAAGGGCCTTTGCCATTGAGGCCCCTGGGGTCTGGAATGCAATTGCCAATAAACTGCAACTTGAATCGCTTCCTATGAGATCTTCACTCAAAACTACTCTAGAGGAGTTGTACACCCCTAGCTGCCACTGCTATTCAGTGGCCTAAAATCAAATGTTTTCGTTCCGGATGATCGCTGCAACGTAAGATCTTGTGTTTTGATTTAGTGTGCTGATCTTTAAAGGTGCATTTGAAAATTTTTGATACTCCGACTGATGCTCCTGCTGTCATGCAGCCAGCTATGGCTACACGGTTTGGTGGTACATGTTGTTTATTTCGTTAATTGTGAAATTTCGGTCACATTTCCTATGATCACTGTTACATTTCTATGGCTTTATTTTGGTGATTTCAAAAAGTTTTTTGGTTTGGCCATGTTTGTTTGTTGTAGTACGGAGTTAAAATGATGGCTTTAATCTAGGTTGTCTTGTGGTTGTTGTTGTTGTTGTTTGACTTGCATCCCACTGGGATTTTTGCAAAACGCTGGTGTACGGTGCTTTTTTTCTGGAAGACTTTGCAGTTTTTTCCTGGATTTTTCTGTTTGCGCATAGTCATTTGAAGATGTTTTCTTGTTCATCTTTTTATTTTTTGTTTGTTGCGGTTGCACCCGATTCAAGAGCCGAACGACGTTTCGCTCCACTTTTTGAGAGCTCCCAGCACGTGCAGCGAAACGTCAGACATCATGTCCAACAACACGCAGTACAACCCAAAAACACATCAGAGAAAAATGTAATAGAGCGGTGGGTAATCTGTAGTCTGCGGGCCGAATGCGGCCAAAGCAATCCCTCGTGGGGCCTGCTTCATCTCGCCCTCTCTTCCGCTGTCTTCCTCTGCTTACTTTTCTCCAGGTTTATAAATGGGCACAAGCTACCAACCCATTGCATTGTCTCGGCATCACTGGGACCTTCACGCTGAGTCCACTCAACTCTCTTCTGCCGCAGCCTCTGCTCATGAGTTTCTATTTCCTCACGTTACCCCAAATCTTTCCCCAGTGAGCAATGCCTCACCACTGCCACCTGCGTGTCTCCATACAGGCAAACCCGCTGTCCTCATGTGCGTCCAGGCGCCCGTGCTGAGTGACACCTCCTGCAGGAACTCCTACCCCGGTGACATTACCAACAACATGATCTGCCTGGGATACCTGGAGGGTGGCAAGGATGCCTGCAAGGTGAGGTCCCCTGAAGCGACTTGAGTCAATAAGTCTGAACGGGAGTATGAGCGTCGAGCTGCCCTCTTGCTACAAACCAGTGCCACCTCCACCAAGCATACCGATACAGACAAAGTAATACTACTGTCGTAGTCCAAGGCCCAACGTAGATATTTGTACCAATGTAGCAAGATCAAAATCTTACCGATGTGTTTATATAGCTATTAAGAGTAGATTATGTCACAACCCACTGATTGTAACCACGAAAGTTTTGCCTCCACAGGTGGTTTTAACAAGTGGAATATCTGGTCTGGGCCCATGGACTAACAGCAGTGCCTCACTCGTTAGTGGTAGTGCCAGGCATAAGCAAACACAGCAAACGCTCAGAGCCCCAAGCAGCACCAGGGTCCCATATTCATGAAAAAGCATCTTGAATTCCGATCCTCGTACACCTTATGAACACAAAAAAGTAAATTACTCTCTAATCGACATTTTGGTTACATCTCTTTCATCTAACTCAATATTTATCACTTCGTTTCACGGACAAATACTTTTGGTAAATGCCACAAACTCGCGGTCTAAGGCAGTCGTCTGTGCGTCCAGAAAAGCTGGGAACCACGACATTAGATGCAGGAGCCAGCTGCTAATCCCTGACCCTCTAACCCCTGATGCCGCCACCGCAGAATGACTCCGGCGGCCCCGTCGTGTGCAATGGCCAGCTGCAGGGCATCGTGTCGTGGGGTCGCGGCTGTGCCCTGCCCAACTACCCCGGCGTGTACACCAAGGTGTGCAACTACAACTCCTGGATCGCCAGCACCATGGCCGCCAACTGAGCGACTCACTCGGAAGCCACCTTGCCGAGCAACAAGCACCGTGATTGTTGTAATGCCATGAAACAAATAAAACCTTTCAAATGTTGATGCCACAATTTTTTTGTTGTCTCATTTTCTTCGTAAAGGTGACAGTGTGAAGCACAGATATAGAAGCATAGCATAGTACGGCACAACAGTGGATTTTACTGTTCAGTAACAAGCCTACAGCTCAGCAGTGTTTAACCGCTTTGGTAAGGTGGCCCCCAAATGAAGACCACTCTTCCTCCCACCTGCAACCCTTTAAAAAAAAGTATACACTTCAAAGGAGGAATTGTCAGTTAAAATTGGTCAAAGTGGTCAATTGAATTCATTTGCATAAGCGGTTTTTTTCTTGCAATTCTAATCGTTTTGGCAAGAAAGTTCTTGAGTTGAATCAATACATATGTAGTGGAGTAGGAAGGTGTGCTGGGGAAACTGCGCGATTGCATTAATCACATGGACAGTGTGGGGTTTATCTTGGGTCAGCCTGAGGAGACGGCGGAAACAGTGGGGTCGTGTTAGGACAGCCAGGTGAAGAGGCGGGTGTGATGAGGTAACGGTCGGGCCAATTAAGCCAGAAGGGCTGTGATTGTTTGGTGCTGTTGCTGGGCCCGAGGAGGCGTCGAGGTGTCTGGAAAAAGGCAGGTGGTTGAAGACGAGTTGCGTGCGAACGTGACCGGTACCGAAAACAGTAGGGGAGGTGCGTAGCTTCGTGGGCTTCGCGTCATATTACCGGCGATTCGTTAAGGATTTTGCTACGATTGCGAAGCCGTTGCACACGCTCACCGGCAAGGGTGTGAAATTTCAGTGGGGAGCTGTGGAACAACGATCGTTTGAAGCGCTGCGGGTCGCGTTGGCGGACGCACCGCCGCTTGGATACCCGGATTTTACGAAAACCTTTATTCTTGACACAGATGCCAGTGATACGAGCATAGGTGCGGTGTTGTCGCAAATGGTTGACGGTGTTGAAAAAGTTGTGGCATATGGCAGCCGGGTGTTGTCTCCGGCCGAACAGAAGTATTGTGTAACACGCAGGGAGTTGCTGGCAATCGTGCGCTTTGTTCGACTGTACCGACCGTATTTGTACGGCAGAGAGTTTTTGATTCGCACTGACCACGCGGCACTACCGTACTCGTTGCTAGTTGACCAGCCGTCATGGCAGATGGCACGTTGGCTCGAGACCCTCCAGGAGTACTCTTTCACGATCCAGCATAGGAAGGGGACGCGTCATGTTAACGCTGATGCGTTATCGAGATTGCCGCGACCGACTGACTCGAGTCCGTGTGTAGAGGGCTCGCTGCGCTGCGGTCCGCCGCTCCAGGACGTTCCGTCAATGGTCGCTGCAGCGGATTCAATTAGGCCAGAAGCGATTCCTGCGGTGGAATCGGGTTTGCTGGGGTTGACGTTGGGTCAGTGGAAACGATTGCAGGTGGATGACTCCTCCCTGACCAGGATGAGGCTGCGTGCCACTCGCTCAAGGGAATCGGAAGATCGCCCCTTTCTAAAACTTATCGATGGTCTCCTCGTTCGCTGGGATGTTGAAGCACAGAAGTTTTGCATTGTTGTTCCGATTTTGTTTTGTGGGAAACTCATTAGTGATACGCATGACAAGTTGATGCATTTGGGGGAGAAGAAGACCACGTTGACTTTGGGAAAATATTTCTATTGGCCGGGAATGTATAACGATGTTCAGCAATATATAAAAGCATGCCATGAATGTGCGCGGAGGAAGGCACCGGCGCGACCCTATCGTGTACCATTGCAATCGATACAGGTTTCGCAGGTCAACGAAATTGTTGCCCTAGATATATTGGGTCCGTTTCCCGTCACCCCCCGGGGGCATAGGTATCTGCTCGTCGGGGTGGAGTACCTTACTCGCTGGCCTATGGCATGGCTACTGGTGGACCAAACCGCGGCGTTGATCGCCGAGGCTTTCTTGCAAGGTTATGTTTTGGATAAGGGTGCCCCGGAGCATTTGCTCACTGATCAGGGCAGAAATTTTTGATCACGATTGATTAAGGAGGTGTGTGATTCATTGGGGACCAAAAAGATTCGAACATCCCAATACCACCCGCAAACTGACGGGATGGTCGAGCGCCTGCATAGGACGCTGACGTCTATGCTTTGCCACCAGGTTAATACTGCACAGGATGATTGGGACCTACATGTTGCAGCGACGCTGGCCGCTTATAGACTGGCCCCACATGCCTCGACGGGGTACTCACCGTTTTATTTGATGTATGGGCGTGAACCGGAAGCGCCGGCCATTGTTAAATTGGGTGTAAAGAAGCAAGGGAAGTCATCGACGGTGCCTGCTCCTATGCAGGTGTATTGGACCGTCTGAGAGAGGCCCGGGAGGCCGCGTTGTGTAACATGGCGCGACGACAAGCCGCCAATGAACGGTTGCATGGAACGCAGCGGCCTCGAGAGCCGTGGTGTGTTGGGGAAAAGCGTAGTTACATCACCCCATGGTACCGGTGGGAACGTTCCCAAAGTTCCATCGGTCCTGGCAGGGGCCCGTTGAGATTGTTGAGGTTCTCAGAGATCAAAGTGTACGGATTCGATTCGGTCGTCGGACATGGTATGTTCACCCGTCGCACCTTAAGAAGTTTGTATTGCCGTATGATGCGTTATCTCCCATCCCAGAGCGGCCTGTATTGGATGTGTCCGACGAGCCTGTGAGGAGGCCGCATGTGTACGCGCCTCAGAAATCTTCCCCCCGTGTGCCTGCAGGACCATCCCTATTGACTCGATGAGGGGGTTCGGGCAGGTTTGCTGGCCGGACGCCGGTTGAGCGGCCACAACTTCGAAATGCTGTCCGGCCCAAGCATGGACGACGGACAGTCCCGCCAGCGGATGGTCGCTGGGACAGGGACGGGTGTGTGTCGAGGACCAGGAGTGGCCCTCACTTAACGGAGGAGCGAGGCCGGCTCTTGCCCCATGGTGTCCCGTGTAGGGGAAATGGGCCGGCAGCTGGAACTCGCTCCCGAGGACGGACCTTCCATTGACTTTGCATGTCGCGGTTCTTGTACAAAGTTGTTGTGTTGGTTTGCATGTTGCGGGTCTTGTACAAAGTTGTTGTGTTGTTCATTGTTATGTCCGCGGTACTCCACTACTCCAGGTTCAAAATATCGTCGTAGCCGGGATGGCTAGATTTTTTTTATCACAGGGGGGGAGTGATGTAGTGGAGTAGGAAGGTGTGCTGGGGAAACTGCGCGATTGTATTGATCACACGGACAGTATGGGGTTTATCTGGGGTCAGCCTGAGGAGACGGCGGAAACAGTGGGGTCGTGTTAGGACAGCCAGGTGAAGAGGCGAGGGTGATGAGGTAACGTTTGGGCCAATTAAGCCAGAAGGGCTGTGATTGGTTGGTGCTGTTTCTGGGGCCGAGGAGGCGTCGAGGTGTCTGGAATAAGGCAGGTGGTTGAAGACGCAAGGCGTATGGAGGCATGCGGACCAATTAATTAGCGATAATGAGAATGGGGATCAATTGGGGGGAGACAGAGAGAGAGGGAGAGATTGGAGTTGGGAGCTGTGCGGTGAAGACGTGGAGTTCGGAAACAGAGTTTAGAAGAGAGTTGGAACATGGTGATAGTGAAGCCGAAGCAAGATGAAGCAGTTAGCAGTGGAGTGAGCATAGTGATAGCAAAGCCGAAGCAAGACGAAGCAGTTAGCAGTGAAGTGAGCATAATGATAGCGAAGCTGAAGCAAGACGAAGCAGTTAGCAGTGGAGTGAGCATAGTGATAGCGAAGCTGAAGAAGACGGAGCAGTTAGCAGTGGAGAGAGCGTAGTGATAGAGGAGCTGGAGACGAGGTGTGCGGAGACAGAGAAGTGAGATTGGGTTTCGTTGTGTGCGACGACGCTGTATAGCGGAGGAGCTGAGGAGGATAGCCAGCAGTGGAGAGAGCGTAGGAATAGAGTTGAAGACGTGTGTGTGTGTGCGGAGCAAAGCGACGTGATACTGGGAACCAAGGTGGTGAGCGAGACGGGCGAAGCACGGCGAGCGAGCCGCGGTGTCCAGGATACGGTGGAGTGTGGAGAACGTGTTAAACGATGAAAATAAAGAAGTGGTTGAAGAAAAGAAAGACAAAAGTTGTTCGTGTAAAGTTCAAGCACTACGCTTGCCTCTGCTTTTATTCTACTTGGCACTGTCTGGCTCCGCCCTGGCCGCAACTCCCTTCTCAAATCCACTTGCAGGTTCCAGGGGCTTCCCGATGAGGTCTTCTGTGACCCTCGCCCCAGTTCCTCCGCCCTTACCGGCACACCCATGTATATGCTCAATGTTGTGTGCATTAACTGTCCACCGCAATTCCCGCTGCTGGACAGCAGTTGGCGCTATGTCACTACACATACAAAGGAATTCGAGGGTTGACATGCAAATGAATTGGCTAATAGTGGTTTCCCAATGGTCGATTCAAACTCCTCCCACAGCCAAACTCCTCCCACATCCAGACGTGGGGCTACAGCGTGGCCTCGGGCGCCCTCAGAGAACCTCCCAGCCAATCACAACCCGCCATTGTCTTTATTTGAATATGACCCGCCCCATAAAAATCAACTCCTCCCCCTTTGATCCCATCTGTGAAGGATTTGATTCCTGACATGCTATACCCTGGTGTCTACAAACTAAGTTGTGGCTACGGCAGCAGTTACATTGGAGAAACGAAACGATATGTCTCGGACCGTGTTCGCAAACACAAGGCAGATCTGAAACATGGTAGAACCAATTTACCTCTGCCATTGCTGATCATTGTTTTAACGCTGTGGGCTCACGCATTTTTTTTCCAAGACGAAGGTACTCTGCTAACCCACCGGCTATCATCAGAGATTTGTTCATGAAGCCGTCCAAATATATAAACACAGACACAACTTCAACCGGAAAGATGGGTACAAACTGAGCAATCATTGGAAGGACGTTCTTAACCAGGTGAAGTCTTAACTGACTGTGATGTTTCCATCCTACCTGCCAATGTCAGCAGTTATTTTCGACTCTCTGAGTGCATCACCAGGTTAAATGTCTTTAAATTAACGGACTAAGTGTCTCTCTAACACAGCTACCGTTGGCCCTTTCCGCGATGTGGCGGGAGCTCTCATTTTTTAACAGACTATGACTGGCTGTGATGTTTCTGTGTATGTGTCTCTCTCTGTGTGCGTGTCTCTCTGTTTGTTTGTCTGTGTGTGTGTGCCTCTTTCTCTGTATGTGTCTCTATGTGTGTCTCTCTCTTTCTGTCTGTGTGTGTCTCTCTCTGTCTCTCTATATGTGTGTGTCTCACTCTGTGTGGGGGTTGTCTCCCTGTGTGTGTCTCTCTCTCTGTGTGTGCCTCTCTGTGTTGTGTCTCTGTGTGTCTCTCTCTGTGTCTCTCTCTCTGTGGTTGTCTCTGTGTGTGTGTCTCTCTCTCTTCGTGTGTGTCTCTCTCTCTTCGTGTGTGTCTCTCTGTTTGTGTGTCTCTCTGTGTGTGTCTCTCTCTGTTGGGTGGTTGTCTCTCTCTGTGTCTCTCTCTCTCTGTATCTCTGTGTGTCTCTCTCTATGTGCGTGTGTCTCTCAATGTGTGTGTCTTTCTCTGTGTCTCTCTGTGTTTCTCTTTGTGCGTCTCTCTGTCGATGTGTGTCTCTCTCAGAATCAGAATCAGAAAGGGTTTTATTCGCCATGAAAGTTCGCACAGACAAGGAATTTACTTTGGCAGGAAGGTGCATACATTCAACATATAGGAATATTAAATCTTAAATAAGTGGTATACACGTCTAACTATACTAAAGATACAAAGTCTAACTAACACTAAGGGGCTAAAGTATGTAAAATTTTGAATAAATAAAAGTAGCTATAAGATACAATCTAAAAATACAAAAAATACAAATAGGGTAACATAGTGTAAATTTGGCAAGGTGTCATTTTGTAGATTAAATGTTAAAGTCAGTGTAAGCCCTTGGCCTTGTTGAAGAGGCCAGCAGCGGATGGGGAGAAACTGTATTTGTGGCGTGAGGTTTTGGTCCTGATGGACCGCAACCTTCTGCCGGAGGGGAGTAGCTGGAACAGAGAGTGTCCAGGGTGGGAGGAATCGGCCACAATCTTCCTCGCTCGCCTCATGGTCCTCGAGGTGTGCAGGTCCTCGAGGGTTGGTAGATTGCAGGCAATCACCTTCTCAGCAGTGTGGATGATACGCTGCAGTCTGTTCTTGTCCTTGGCAGTGGCAGCAGCGTACCAGACGGTTACGGAGGAGGTGAGGATGGATTCAATGATTGCTGTATAGAAGTGCACCATCATTGTCTTTGGCAGGTTTAATTTCTTCAGCTGCCGTAGGAAGTACATCCTCTGTTGAGCTCTCTTGGTGAGGGAGCTGATGTTCAGTTCCCACTTGAGGTCCCGGGAGAGAATAGTGCCCAGAAAGCGGAAGGACTCTACAGTTTTGACTGGGGAGTCGCACAGGGTGATGGGGTGAGTGGGGCTGCATTCTTCCTGAAGTCCACAACCATCTCAACTGTCTTTAGAGCATTTAGCTCTAAGTTGTTCTGGCTACACCAGGTCACCAGGTTGTCAGCTTCCCACCTATAGTCAGACTCATCCCCACCAGAGATCAGCCCAATGAGGGTAGTGTCATCCGCAAACTTCAAGAGTTTTACGGACAGATGATTGGAAGTGCAGCTGTTGGTGTATAGGGAGAAGAGCAATGGGGAAAGGACGCAGCCCTGAGGAGTTCCGGTGCTGATGGACCTGGAGTCAGAGACTTGTGTTCCCAGCTTAACTCACTGCTTCCTGTCATACAGGAAGTCTGTGATCCACCTGCAGGTGGAGTCGGGCACGTTTAGCTGGAAGAGCTTGTCCTGAAGCAGGGCAGGGATAATGGTGTTCAAGGCAGAGCTGAAGTCCACAAACAGGATCCTGGCATAGGATACCGGGGAGTCCAGATGCTGTAGGGCGAAGTGTAGAGGGAATGAATACCTGTCAACCCCATACGGCTTACCCCGTATTCTTGTACAGGGAAATTTAGTTTTTCAGGTCCATACGGCGTACAGTCGTTTCATTACGGGCAAGAAAAAACATTTGTCTATTTATTTGTGTTTCTCCCTTGTCGTAGAACTTTGTAGGATGAAAGTTGACATTTATAAGGGCACGGCGTGACCAATAAGGTCTGAGTTGGTCTCTAATAAGGTAGGGCACTGATAAGGGGTTGACAGGCATGGGAATGAACTTTTTACTTTTTATTGTTAAACGTTTTCATCATCACCACCACCACTGTCAGGAAGTCGCACCACTTGCAGTACAGTACAGTACACACGTGTGTACTGTATAGCAGTACAGACTCGTGTGTGTGTGTGAATGGCTCCTGAGGAAACCGAGAAACCCCGACTGGACTAATCTATGTATAACGGAAATTTATGAATGTGTGTCTCTTCAAAATATTTAGCGTACTTCCCGACATGCAACAAACTTGAAATTTTCCATGTGGGTACTTTCCAGACTGTATACCATGCAAAAATTTAAAAATAGACTTTTGTATATTTGGGGTGGGAGGGGACGCAATAATGCATTTATTTTTTGCACGGCAAGTGAGCTGTGACGTCACATCTGTCATGTGACCCGCGCACGTGGAAGCGTAACGGAGTGTGCCTGCTCATGTTACGCCCCCCACAACCCTCCGCGGGTAAAGTGAAATACAAATGTGTTACAGGTCTAAGGCGTTCTTCGCGCAGCATTGCTTTATTATTTCAGTTGTTTACTGCCGTACGCACCCTGAAAGTTGCGTGTGTCTGCAGCCAGCGCGTGTATGTGTACCTATGGACGCGCGCGCGTGTGTGTCTGTGTGTGGGGGGAGCGGTAGTGTAGTGGTTAGCGTGCTGTGTGTCTGTGTGTGTGTCTGTGTGGGGGGAGCGGTAGTGTAGTGGTTAGCCCGCTGCACTGCGACCCGAGTTCGATTCCCGCTCACGGCCACCACCGGTGACGATTATTTGAACCGGTCCTGGGCCTCCCCTAGGTCGACTCAGCCTCAAACGAGTAACTCGTGCAGTGTATGAACATCGCCACTGGAGAGACAAAGGCGGCCGGGCGTGGTAAATCCAAGTCCCGGGCGAAGCCGGGTAGTAAAGCTAGCCTGTGAAAACAATAACTTCAGAGCTCATTTTCGGTATAATGATTCAAATTCAGATTCTCCGATCTCTTCGCCAAGTAGTTACAGTCTCTTCGTGCTGCTAGACAATCCAGTATTAACAACTAACGTTTGATATAACGTCACAAATACGTTTCATTTACACGGCTGGATGGAGAGGCTGGCGGGGGGAGATGTATTAAACTCGCTCCATTGTTACAGCTGCCGCGCCGGGAGATAGTATCTAGACCTTTATTGCACGTCCAGGGTGCTGGTAACCATTACAAACACGGCAGCTCGCATCGTTTGTCAACGAGGAGAATATTACAATGTTACCATGATTGCGAGACATTTATACTTTAAATATTACCGTTTTTTACGGGTTTTTCATGCGGTTACTGCTGCATTGGTGACTACTCAATGGTAATCCTATACTGTAGCAACTCTCGTGTCGGGCTTATGTTCAGTGCACGCTACAGTAAGAACAAGTTGAAGCGATTTTTATTCCCATTTAAAGTGCATCAAAGCGTGAAATCGAGACGACGCGAAATGCAATTGCAAAGTTATCGGGGGAATTATAAAAAACGATAATTGTCACCGTGAAACGTTACATACCGTATCATATCGTGAATATCGCAGCTACCAGAAGTTTTCAAACGATAACAGAAGTATTTAAAAAAGCACTCGGCCTTTGTGCATTATGCAAAAACCATGGGAAGCATTTCATGAAGAAGTACATTCTGGTTCTCTTGTCTGAGGCCACCAACACAATACATTTGAGCAACTTCTGACTGACTGATAGGCAGCAGTGATTCAGTGATAAACAACTGTGGCCCGGTTTCATCCTCCTTAGAACTCATCAGCATAGTGCAGTATTGTCACCCAAATGCTCACTGCTGCAGAGTATACCACCGGATACCGTATTCGCGAAGACCGCACTGCCACACTATGATGGCCCATCAGCTTGGCTAATGCCAACAAAGAATAACATTGGCAAAAAAAAACGACCACAACAAAAATCCATCACAACAGAACAATCGTGCAACAACGCACACAAGGCATTTGCAGCAGCAGCAGCAGCAGCGAGCATCGTCGGCGCCTCCAAATCCCATGCCGCACTTTATTCCCAGCAACACGAGCAGCACGAGCTGCTGCTGCCGCCGTTCTTCGGCGTCGACTTTGCCGAAGCCTTCGATCCGACGACGTCGGCCCCGGCGTCCAGCAGGAGCTTGACCACGTCGCCGTGCCCGTTGCGCGTCGCCGCGTGAATCGGAGCCTTGCCGCTGGCGTCCCTCGCGTTCACGTTGACGCCTGCCTTGAGCAGCGCCGCCACGACCTTGGCGTGACCCTGCGCCGCGGCCAAGTGGAGTGGCCCCTCCCTGTTCCTGTTGACCACGTTCAAGTTGAAGTTCGCCGTCCGCGCCTTTTGGATGTGGTCCACGTCGCCGTCGACGGCGGCCTTCAGCACGCTCGCCGCGGTCACGGTCGCCGCCGGCTGCGTGGGCTTGGCCTTTACGGGTTCCACTTTGGCCTTGACGCCGCTCTTCTTCGGCTGGCCGCCGCCCTTGTTGACGTCCCCCAGCTCGCAGCCGTCCATCTCGAGCAGGTAGCCGATGAGCTGGCGCTGGCTGTCGCCCACCTTCGTCGACACCTCTGCAACGTGGCGCCTGATGTCCAGGTACACCTCGGGCTCTGCACGCTTGAGGCACGGGTTGAAGAAGAGACGGCACGCCCGCTCGCCGGAGCGCGCCACCATCTCCAGCATGCTGGCGTTGCATTCGCGGCGCGACTCAAGCAGCGCCAGGGCGGCGTGCTGGTGGTAGCTCAGAGCGCCGTGTTCCACCAACAGCCTGAGCAGGAGCTCCGTGTTGAGGATGTCCGCGCAGAGGTCATCCTTGCGCAGCTGCAGCACGTCGATGGCGTACGGGTTGGAGCTCTTGTGGAGTTTATCGGCTTGCATTTTCCGACGCGGGTCGTGGTGTTATCGGGGGTTGTTTTCTTTTTTTTTCCGCCGGAAACTAAAACTTACAGAGCCTCACCGGTTGTCATGCTGGTTGCTTGGTGCGTGTCTGCGAGGTGGTTGGAGTCAATCAATCGTAAATCCTAACGAGCGTCGATATGCTCCGAAGGATTATTTGTAAGATAGACTTGTTTTGTTTGTTAAGGCTTATGGGTCATTCGCAATAGTTGTCGGTGGTGACCGTTAAACCGAGAAGGCCAAAAACATGCAGGACACAGGGACAATGAAAAGCGTTTGATTACTTGAGGTCTTATCCCAGCAACCGTTGCTGTAGACTTTGAAGCTGATGTTTCAGAACACGGCAAACAGGACAATCGTTTACTTTCCTGTGTAACGTTAAACGAAGGGAGGGTCGCGTGCCTTCATACCCGGTATTCCCTGTAGTAACGTTGGGGTTGACTCTACTCCGCAGGTATTTGTGTTGGGTGATGTGTTCGCGTGCGATAATGCCGCAGGTCCCTTTGTCTTTAAATCACAAATAACCGACGAGTAGCGTGCGCTGCCAAGACTCTGAAAAAAATAGAAATTCCAAATGATGTTACTTTCGATATTTCGCGTCGAGTGGCATCAACTAAAATATTCATACTTGTGTGATTATTATTATCATTAAATTTTCAATTGGGAATATAAAACATCACAATCACCCTCTTGAAATTTGTTATTATGCGTGGCGGTGTGATGAAAACACGGTCAACACAAATTTATGACTTAGGTTTTGTTTTAGTCAACACTGAGTTTATTTCATAAAAATATATCAAAACCACAACATGCCTTACTTTTTAGATGAGATATTACAAGGTTTGCTTTTTTACCTCTTTGCATCTATTATTTAAAGTGTAAATGCATTGTCTCCGTGTGAAATATGGTCAAACAATCATTATAACTGACATGACATGGGAAGGCCTTCATCCAGCAGTAGATGGACATAGTGGTGATAAAGTGTCCCTGCTCTGATCAACAAAGAGGTGTTACTGAGCCAGTCACCAAAATTACACATTTCTATGGCAGTACCATTTGTAGGAGGACCATGGTCAGTCTCCCACAATGTGGCTATCATTTTATTGACACCAAACGGATCATACCGGACTCAACAATGATTGAAATCGTTTATTTATTTTTGGGTTAGGCCACGTAATTTTATGCCAAAAAACGTGTCATTCGCCTCGCATTAGACTTTCACTTATCCAGTTGTGAGTGACGCGATCTAACCACTTATAAATCACCAAATGAAAGTTATGAATATCATAAACTTCAAGTGTACATATGAACAGGACCATATACACAACAATGGATGATAAATGTGAATATACATTATATTAATGCTAACAGGAGTACAAACATAAACAGAATTGCGAAGAATAAAAAAATACAACTGAATGTAAGTCATCTCGGAGCGTGACATTCTTTCACCCCAAACCCAAAACAAAGTCCATTGCTCTTAGATGTCATACAACGGCATTAACATCGTATATAGGTCGCAGGCAGTGGATTGAAGAGCATGATGTAGATTTTTACATCATCACGATCCATGGGCAGATAGCCCGTAGGTGTCCACTGCACTATTCGTCATTGGGCATGTATAAAATACTTTTACACGCACGTTTAACAGTATGAGTTTACATTCTTACCGTCAGCCTGCGTGGACCCCACGCTTAGCCCCAGACGCACTGAATAAGCAGGCCCTACTCCGCTGCCCTTTATTGAAGTAAATACCAAACAGCTCGTCTCCAGGTGACACCACGTGCCTGTTTGCTTCACATCTCTTGTCGGTCAGTGCGGAGGCTGTTCAATCATTCCGGTGATGAGGCACAAAACTTCATGGCGATTGAAACACGCGATGTTTAAATTCCACTGCAAGAAAAGCCTATGTTCATTTAACAGGGAACGTGTTGCCAATATTGTAAATGTGTGTATTGCAGTGAAGTGTGATGTAATTAGTTTTAAAAGGTATTGGACGTATTGTAGTTTTTTTTTTAATATGCAAATGCACGTGCTTTGGGAATGTGTGTACGCACAGCGGGGGTTGCAGTGGTTAGCGCACTGAACTACAAACCCAGCTACGCGAGTTTGATTCCCACTCAGAGCCAACATCAGAGATGAATATATGAACAGGTCCTGAGTCTCCTTTAGTCGTATCAGTCTTAAATGAGTACCTCATGTGTCGTGTAAATTGCTGCATTGGGGAGATGAAGGCAAGCAGACGGGAATGGTGCTGACCACACCACCCCCTCGTGTTCCGTGATGGCCTTAATAGGTGCTCGCTAACATCATTACCCCAACAGTCTTTGTACAGCCCAATTTGGAGAAATTCCATATTAATATTGGATAAGTGTTGGACTCCCACAAAAGCACGTGGAAGTGTGTTGACTTGCTACTGGTTATTACCGGGATGTGATGGGGTCAGCCAGGATTGACCTCTGGGAAGGGAGTTCGTAAACAGTTCCATCAGGTAGCTGGTAGGCCACCAGTTGCCATCCAAAGCCCATGCGAGGTGAAGAAGTGGGTGATTTTCACAGCAGGTGTGAGGTCATTGGGAGAACTGAAACGAAATGTAGCCATTGGCTCGTTGGAATGCATTGTTTACACTGAGTCAAGAAAATAATGGAATATGGGCCTTCAACAAATAACGGAAATATTTCGCATGGCGTAGATTTATGTGTAGCCAGATGAGAACTCGACAGACCAGGATGTCTCATTTGCGAGAGTGATCTGAGTCACCCAAATCACAAAAACAATCAAATAACAAGTATAGGAATGAAACAAATAGAAATCAAACACACGTGAATTTGATATATTATATTCCCTGTCGTGTGAGACTGATCCTAGCATGAGCCTGCCGATACAATCAAGTGACGGAAACGTTATTTTAGACATGTGGAAACAGTCGATGAGCAACGTTGATGGCGTCTCGTGGCGAGCCAGTCGTGGCACGGCTTCACAAGACCATGGGGTGATGAACACTAAAACAAAGTGTGTGTGGTTTTTTTATCAATAGAGCCAGACTCTGATCTGTTATTTTAATCTGCATCTCTAAATCTGGCATGTAAATGCCCACCACAAACTTAAAACGTGTTTTGTCTGCCATTAAAGCTGGCGTCCTCGTGAAACAAAGAATACATTGACCCATCAGTTGTGTATTTTATTTTATTTCATCACAGTTAATGATCACGGGCCCAAAAGCCAACATCCCCATGGCCAGTAGCAACCAGCACTGTTGAAGGTAGAGTGGAAAGAGTTAATGCATTGCTTGAATTGAGCAAGGTTGTGAATACTTGGGGACCACGGACAATGAATGACCAAGCTTTAATTAGCAAAGTGTTGAGACCTTGGCATCTAATCTTGTCATTACTCACCGGGGTTTTCTTTAGAGCCAGTGGGGGGTAATCCAGACTTCGTGTGTTTGCTCTGCATCATCTGCTGCGTTCTCTGCCTCTGCGTGCGCCGTCGGTATAAAGGCATTCACGAGTTGTTTTGCAACGGAAGAGTGATACAGACCAGGCAGGCGCGTTGTGTTGTGGAAGTGCCAAAAGTAAAGTCCGCAAGGGTTAGATGTGTAATGTTTATCGAAGGCATGAAGCAAACACGAGCCGGTTCAATCCTTGCGTGAGGCCGTTTCCATTGTCTATGAACCAGAGGGAGAGAGAGGGAGGGCTCGTTGCGAAATTCCTCTTTTTGCAAATACGGATATGACCTGAATAACCATGCTGCACGGTTACTTAGTGATCATTGGCCAGGAATTATTTTAATTATAGAAAATGCCTTGGGGTGGAGTGGTGGTAATGTTTATAATGGGATGGTGGTTAAGTGCTTAGCACGCTGGGCTTTAAAACGGGTGACCTGAATTTGATGATAATATCATAATACATTCAACTTGTAACACACCGTACGGTATTTGATCACTCGATCGAAGAGACGGAACGACTAAGAGGCACGAGGAACTACAGAGAAGCAAGAAGGCAGCCAGGCGGTGAGTTGGTGTCAACAATTGCCCAAGCTTTGCGGTCCTCTATTTGTTAAGATGTTTTCAGCCAATTAATGAGCACATGCGGGAGTGTAAACCAGAACACCTGAAAAAACCCCACGCATGCGAGGGGGCACACCGTATCCCATACAGAAGGCACAGACGATATCAGTCCACATTTTGATGCACTGCCTTCTGGAAAACCATTGTATGGCACCTTGACGCCCACGGGAATGGAGTTTCACAACATTTGTGTGATTCACCAACCCTCACCTCCACAGGTGTGATCTCTGGTCACGGCTAACATCAGGGGCCAGTGATGTCAGAACCGGTCCTGCCTTCCCACTCCTTCCGCAACCCGGACTGAACAGCATGGTGACGTATATATATGTCTATCGCTCCACGTGAAAATATACAAAAAATTCACGCATTCCACCAGTCACGTGGCCTGCTGAATGTGCATAATTTCAACAGCATCGGTTCAGCAAGCAAACAAACTCTGGTCCGGTTTCAACATTCATTGTCTCATCAGCACTCAGGCTTGCTTGACTCAACGCCGGTGAACTGCCAGATATTCATCAGCAAGGATCCTGTCTGTTCGATGTGGCCATGTGGCTGATGGTATGTGTAAACGGTGCTTTTTTATATACAGATATGCGAAAGAGGCATGTTGTCTGCTTATTTATTTTGTTAAATATTCTCCCCAACAACGTTAACGATCACTTCCTGTTATTATATAACAGGCGTGTTCTGAATATACAATAAAGCATATAACAGGTGTATCAGCACTGACACATCTGTGTGTCCACATCAAACATAAATTATGGTGTTGCTTTATTTAGTATAACAGGTAGGCTTTCGCGACCAATATCCATAATACAGGATTTTTTTGAGTTAGATCGCGTAATCCATACATTTGTCGTTAAACCCACGATGAAGCTAAGTTGCAATTCGTGGCGAAACGTCGTACGCAGATTGTAAATGTTGTGGCTTGGCTCTCCAACACACCGGTGTGCTGTACTAGTGACCAATTGTTTACGTGACAACCCTTACTAATTGGCTGTGTCGGGTGGTGGCGGGTTTAACGGCACATTTATATATTTACGCGTTTTAACCCAAAAACCCTGCTTTAATCAGTTTGACAGATACCTTTAAAAAAGAAAAACAATGCACCTGGTTACGTGCGTTCAATTCCCGGCCACGGCTCACATCAGCGGGAGGTGTGTATCTGCATCGGTCCTGGGCCACCCTCCACTGATGGGCCTGGGGAAGTATGGCTAAACCACCGCCTCGAAATTAGCATTGCGTGTGGAGGCGTTCATCCATACAAGGGGTCGACAACCTGCGGCTCTCCCTGGGACCGCTTCGTGACACGTTGTTTATTCAGGAGCCCACCGTCTCGTATTCACCGCAGTGCGTTGTCGCTCTTGAAATATTAAGTCGTTTTTTATCGAATTCGACAAAAAAACATGTCTCTCATTGTGAAGTTGGTTGCCCAGCCCTGATCCGCACAGTGGATGACGAACACCGGTAATGCTATGTCAGTACGTACCCTTTCGCTTTAGTTGTGTAATTAAAATAAATCACCACAAGAGGGCGTAGAAGCTCTGCACACGTTCGAGACTTCATGCTGCGCGAGCCCAACGCCAGAAAAATCAATAAACTGGCTCGTGAAGTGGGGATTAAATAATAAATCGCTGACTCACAACACAGATGTGCACTCGTGTTAACCGGTACAAATAACGTAGAATAATAATAATAATTGAGAACTTAATTTGGAGCTTTCGTGACTGCAGGAATTACTCGTTGGTTCTTTCGGTAGTCACGTAGAAATAAAAAGTAATTAAATATTAACATACTATTATTATAGCATATTATTTTATTCATATAATTAATTGATCTCCTTTCTACGTGACTTTACCGAAAGAACCAAAGAATAATTTGGAACTTAGAACGCACACAACTTTCGTTCGCTCTCACAGGGAGCAGAGAGCCGTTCACAGGCGTGG